TTTGTAGACAAGACCAGACACCGTCAGGTCTCAATCATACCGAAAGCACCTTTGCCTGCAGAGAAGGTACCTCCATATTATAGAACTTCATAAATGTGGACGGCGAGGACCAGCCGGCCGCATCACAAATATCTTGAATGGGAAAACCAGATGACCAAGCCCATGACGAGGCCATGCCTCTATTCGAATGGGCTTTGACACCTATAGGGCAAACCTGACCCACTGAGGTATAGGCCATAGAGATGGCATCCACTATCCATCTAGACAGTCTTTGCTTAGTGACTGGATCACCCTTAGATCGGCCACCAAAGCAGACAAACAGCTGTTCTGACTGTCTAAAAGACGCAGAACGCTCCAAATAGATTCTCAGCGCCCTGACAGGGTAGAGAAGATTAACCTCCCCATCCTCGGCAGAAGGGGGAAGGGCTAATAGCGTAATAACTTGTGCTCTAAACAGCGTTGAGAGCACCTTGGGTACGTAACCATGCCTGGGTTTGAGAATGACTCTGGAGTCATCCGTTCCAAACTCCAAACATGCAGGACTCACAGAGAGCACCTGCAGATCTCCCACTCGCTTGATAGATGCCAATGCCAACAGGAGAGCAGTCTGTAGCGAGAGTGGTTTTAGATCAACCGACTGGAGCGGCTCAAAAGGCGGTCCCTTCAGGGCCCTAAGGAACGTGGAGAGGTCCCAAGGCGGCACCGAAGTGGGCCTGGAGGAGTTAATCCTCCTAGCGCCTTTCAGAAACTTTACCACCAGGTCATTTCTCCCCAGTGATTGGCCAGCCACCAAAGCATCATGCGCTGCGATGGCTGCAACGTAAACTTTGAGCGTGGACGGGGTGCGGCCCGCATCCAGTAGCTCCTCCAGGAAGGAGAGCACCACAGATACCTCACATGACTCTGGGTCAACTCGATTTTTCGAGCACCAGCTGGAAAAACCCGACCACTTCAAAGCATAAAGGCGCCGAGTAGACGGGGCCCTTGCTTCAGAGATAGTGCTTAAGACCCTGTCAGGAAGGTCCCCGGGTACCCGTTTAGGGGCCACACATGGAGGGCCCATAAATCGGGTCGGGGATGCCATATCGTTCCGTTGGCCTGTGTGAGGAGATCCTTCCTCATTGGAACAGGCCAACTTGAACTTGTGGGATCATCGAGACGGGGAAAAAACATAAAGGGGGCGGCTGGGCCAGGGATGAGCCAGCGCGTCCCTGTTCTTCGAGAAGAACACCCTGCAGGGTGTTGGCTCTCGAGGCAAAAAAGTCGACTTCGGCCTCGGCGAACATCTCCCATATTAGACTGACCATCTGGGGGTTCAGGGACCACTCGCTTAGGGGAGTGTTGCCCCATGAGAGCATATCCGCGCCCAAATTTTGGATGCCCGGGATGTGCTATGCTCTCAGAGAGCTCAGATTGGCCTGTGCCCACAGGAGGAGGTCCCTCGCCATAGCATACAGGTTGCCTGACCTGATACCACCCTGGAGATTTATGTAGGCCACCACTGACATGTTGTCCGTACTGACCAGGACGTGGTGACCCCTGAGGTTTGACAGAAAAGCTTTCAGGGCCAAACCAACTGCTTTCATTTCCAGACAGTTGATATGTAAGCTCTGCTCTGTGCTCGACCAGAGGCCGTAGGAAGGCTTGCCCTCATGCAGTGCTCCCCAACCCAGGTTGGACGCGTCTGTAAAAACCACCTTCCTTCTGGAAACTACCCCCATGGTCACCCCATTGTGGTACCAGTCCTGAGCCCACCAGGGAATCAGTGTTCTTAAACACCCGTGATTCACCATAATGCGCAGGCTGCTTGACTGCCATGCATGGGTTGGCACACGGCGTTTCAGCCAGTCCTGCAGCGGGCGCATGCGCAATAATCCCAAGTGGAGTACTGATGATGCAGCTGCCATCAGGCATTTTAGATGGCCGATAATCAAATCCCTGTGAACTATCAGTTCATCTCTCGACTGCGCCAGCACCAGCCAGTCGTCGAGATAATTCAGCACGCGCACTCCCTGACTTTTCAGTGGGGAGAGCGCTGCATCCATACATTTCGTGAATGTGCAGGGTGCCAGGGACAGACCGAACGGCAGGACGGTGTATTGATATGCCCTCCCCTCAAAGGCAATTCTCAATAATGGCCTGTAACGATCTGAATATGAAAATATGCATCTTTCAGATCCATTGTAACAAACCAATCGCCCGGACGAACTTGCGCAAGAATTTGTTTGAGTGTTAACATTTTGAAAGGCCGTCTCATGAGAGCCTTGTTCAAATGTCTCAGATCTAGTATGGGTCTGAGTCCGCCGTCTTTCTTTGGGACTAGAAAATAGCAGCTGTAAAACCCCGAATACATTAGCGTGGGAGGGACTGATTCTATCGCTCCTTTTGCTAATAAATTCTGAACTTCGGTGCGAAGCAGGTGACCCACCCACGCTGCTTCTCACCGACGTCTCGATAACCGCCTGGAATTCCGGGGGTCTGCGAGCGAATTGGAGCGAGTAGCCTCGCTTTATAGTGTTTATGTCCCAACTCGACACACCGGGGATGGCTTGCCAGGCCATGGCCCGTGTGGCTAGGTCTTGACACACTGAATGGGACGGGCCGCCTAACATAGGGGGACCTGATACCCTTATAATGTGATTTGTGCACATACTGAGTGTTTGACTGACTATACAGGCTTTTGCCCGGGGGGAAGTCAGTGTTACAACAGGGAGGGGGCCACCTAGTGAAGGGGGACCGTGAACCCGTGTATTGTAATTGTGAAACATGCTCTTTTTGTGCTTTATTTGGGTCGCAGTGAAAACGGCGTTTGTTTGCAAAGACGCGCTCACTGCTGCGGGCCTGTTTACAATAATAAAATCCCCAGCCGCCTGAACTGAACAGGGAGCTGTGGGAAGTTTTGGTGTTTTTTTCGAGGGTGGTCCGGCTAGTGCGAGACACGAGCCCTCTCTCTTTCCGCTTCGTGCTAGGACGACTTCGGTGTTACCTGGTCGATCACTACGCTGGCTCACGGGCCTTGACTGGCGGTGGCTATCAGCAGTGGTTCTCAGAACCGATCACCGGTGATCACTGCGAAATGCATGCCAGTTAGAAATGTGTCCGAGTGCGGTCCGCCTTGCTCTGATGTCATGCTGACGTATGTCAAAACACTCTCGCGACCACAAGGCGCACGTTTTGGATTCTGCAGTCGAGTGCAGTTGCTCTCCACCGACTGCGCTGATCAAAAGCACGATGGGAAATGACTTGCTGATGACACAGCTTAATGCTCATTGGTTTAAACAATCGTGATGTATTGTTCTATTTTAAAATCATGATTTTAAAACTCTGATATCATGTTTTATGTGTATAAATTATGTGTGGATATTCCAAACTCTCTGACAGTGCGATCTATGTGATGTAATTTATTTATTTATTTTTTAATAAAAACACGTCTGTATTAAAGAAAAAATTATTGATAAACACTTAGGCCTATTTAAATTGGAATTAAATAAGTACTTTGGGTGTCTTGTTCACTATATTTATTTTCATATAAAAGCAACAACTTAAATTACATCCAGTTTATTAGCAACACCGTGCACGGGCGTGAATCCCGCGATATCCGCCTTTGATCTCACAGGGGTCTGATGATCCACTGCAAGAACATGTGCGAGAAGACATGTCCGGCGTGTCTGCGCTTTTTTCACTCCTCCCCTCACTGCAGCCGCCTACTCTCGACTACATTTCAGGCGAGGCAAGGCGCATCTCAAACAAGCCTATTCTTTATGTGTAGACCATAGGGTGTAGACTACAGATGTGACGTAATCACGCAAAGACATGCTCGAATTTCCCGCGGAAATCCACCAGTACCACTGGAATTAAAAACATTATTACAAGCTTACCGTTTTGAATCGAGCTAAGGCAAGCAGATCATTTTGAACACTGTGGCTGGTTATGTACTTGCTCAAATTTATTTTGGATAAAAAGTTACGGACTGGAGCTTTAAACGTAAACACTATCAAACATTTCAGAAGCACACAAAGAAAGACGAATGAAAAGCAGTATTTGTTCAAATGAATGATCTGAAATGGCTGATTTTATTCAACTAACCTTAAATAAGAAATGTAGAGCATTACACTTTTTAGCTGAGGAATTTTAGCTTTCAATTCATAATTCATACCATTGAACAAATTCATGTTTTGTGTGTTACATAAGTCATTAGTTACTGAGGTCATCACTAATTTTAACAGCCTCATTACAGCCCAGCTGTGCTCAGAAAGCAGAAGAAAATAGTGATGGGAATAGCATTCATTTAGCAGTTCTTCACTTTGTTCCCTTTTATTTCTTCCATTCTTGTTAGAGGTTTACCTCAATCTATTACCTGTTTAAGGGGTTTTATCAAGTTCTGGTTGATTATTTAGTACAGGTTTGTGAATATCCGCTTATCAGCCAAGTACAAAAGATTAAAGCTTTACATGCATGCACACTGTTTTTAAAAGGTGTTTAAAACTTTCCCACTTGTTATTTGGAATAGTTGGAGTTACTGGTTGAATTTCTTCATCATAGAATCTCAGAATAAGTGTCTGTCAAATCATGAGTCCCATGAGTAAACATTTATCTGAAAACTAAAATTAGAAACTAAACAGCAATTTAAATGAAAAACATTCCAACACCAGACCATACATTTATAATTATTATTACTGGTGTTATTAATAGGCTATTAGTGTATTTATATATATATATTTTTGAACATGCACCATGGTAACACCAAGAGTAGGCTTTTGTACTACTTAGCATGTAAAAGCATGGGAAATGAATATGGTAGCCTAATAATTCAGTAGAGATACGGTAGCCTAATAATTCAGTACCATGATACGACCTTCTCATACCATATAGCATGCTTAATGCATAATACAATAGTGCCGATGATCATCAAGATTCTCCGGTATAAAATTCACAATAAATTTGTAACAATTTCAGGGTTGCACTGTGTACGCATGCGTGACACAGCTGCCCCTTCGTGCCCTCCCCCCACAACATAACGTGCTGCTGTCGGTCCAGGTCTGTTGGACCAGTTTAGAATCAGGAACATTTGGAGACGTCAGAGACCGGAGGTTCTTCGCTCTTTCACCAGAGCATCAGCCACATCAAACAGCTCGCATCACACAGACACGTAGGCTACTCTTTTTCATCAGTTGCGCCTAAATTACAAGCATGTCTAAAAAGAGCGAAAAACCAGCGGAGGGCAAAGAGCCTGAGAGTAACTGGAAAGACGTGATCTACAATCCAAGAACTGGAGAATTCTTCGGTCGGACTGGTAGAAATTGGGGTGAGTTGACAGAAACCCTAACGGCGTCATTCATGAAATGTGCAGTTTGCATACATTATAGACGGATTTTTATGACAGAAGGACACTGTAACGCTTATTAAACATGAAGAGCCCCTAGGGTCATGAATGAAGACGAGTGTGCGTTGAAAATGACGAAAGCATCGTTATCTTAGGCATTCCGGCATCTTAATGTCATCAACTCATTCCCTGATGACATCAGTGACATTTTAATGTCTTCATCTCTCTGCGTTTCGAATGATCTACACTGTAAATAATGTTGCTCAATGCTCGACATCTTCAGGTCGTATGGCACGCACGTCTTCTCGGGTAAAAACCTCAATGACAACATTTGGATTCGGAATCAATAACGTTACTTGCTACAAAGTTACGGATATTAATGTTAAAAATAATAAACGGAAGCATTTCTTTAATGCCTGGTATTTTTTTAAGTTATTATTATTATTATTTTGGTTTAAAAATGGAACGAAACGATTGTGTTTCGCAGTTAAAATTCACTGTGGAGCGAAAACCAATTCTGATGCTAATAAACGTCATTAGACGGCTCAGTGGCCAAATAAGCTTTTTATTCCAGACTAGTGTGGTTTTAATCTACGTAGCCTACATGTTTATTTATCTGAGCAAGGCTCTTGTTTACACTAGCTAGCGAAAACATTTGTGTGCTGATTAAATAACTGTCTTAAAAATAACGAGATCTTCAGAAACTCTAAATAGGCTACTGTGTTGACTGCTTAACGAGAGAAAGGCTAGTGTGATTAACCTTCTCTTGTTCTTATTGACCTAAGGCCCATTATGCCTTGTCAATTCAGCTGATTATCTTGACGATACAGTGCGCGTCTAAATGATTAAAAGCCTAGGGATTAGACGCTTTCAGTCAGCCTAAATAATGACCCCTATTCAAAAACCCATGCATTCTCGTTCATTTTGAAGATCATAGACCTAAATTGCAACGTCAGAGCGCTCGGTTACATCAAAGTGTCGTCGCTGAGCGCCGTGACGTCGCCTGGCCTGTGGGGAATCTTTCCGTTTTTGCGCCTCACTAAACCTTCTGTTCGAATGACACCTTTGATTTTTTTACAGGCAAAAAAATAAATAAAAAAATAAACTGCTGAATGATTTGGCGTACGGGACACCCCCGCAGCCATGCAGTGTGTGGGCCCGGCCCCCCCATCCAATGATGGGCTATGTCGCAGATTCATCTAGGCCTATTTACCAGTAGCCTTTGCTTTTTTATTTTTTAGATCTACACTCAATTGACTAAAGATTAAAATAAAATAGCTAAAAAAAGGCAAACAGGGAATCATAGAAAACAGTGCTAAAATACCCAAAATAACGTCACAGTTGTTTCCATCGCCCATTTGTAAAGTAGCCTATAGACAGCCCCGCAGGCCTTGACGCGCTGTGTTACCGACCGTTATAGCAGAAGTGTGCCAATAGCTGATTTTAACAAATAAATCAAATAAAATATGCAGTCTTTAGGCTTGGTCTTTGCTGAGGCAACTTTTATAATTATTACTATTATTATTAGACTAGGTATATTATTTTTATTTTGCAAAAAAAAAAAAAAAAAAAAACATAGTTACCCCACCCGGCCAACAGATCTGTTAATGGTCAGCTCACACTTTCTGAGGTTCTTCTCAAAATGTAGTTTGCCTGCAAATTCATTAAAAGTATTGGTGCTGGGATTTTAGTCTGACTAAAAAGAACTAGGCTATATTTAGGCTTCATAGCCTATATCAAAATCACTACACATAACATAAGCCTACATTATATAGTCTAGGCCTATATAATGTTATTAATAATAACATTGAATGCATCAATGCAATGATAATTCACTGCTTGCAAAATCAGATATTTATACCATTAAATCAATTACTGTATGTAAGTGGGGGAGACAGACATGAGCAGCAGGCACACAACAGATTTTCATACATGCCATCACTGCTGGTGGGAGGGGTCCCATCACGTGCTTTGCGGGGCAGGGGAGTGTGTGTGTGTGTGTGTGTGTGTGGGGGGGGGGGGGGTGTTCTCACAGATGTGCGGTACGCCACTGGCTGAATGGGACTGTTGCATTATTTTACTACATTGTGAATATATATAAGATAAATTACTAAATTATTTTCACCTTTATTTCAATCCTATCAGAACGGATGGTCACATAAATAGTAGTTTTCTTTAACTGTGTCCTTCGAAGTATGGTCCCAATAGAGTGGTGCATGGATGACTTCAAAACCCGGAAGTCTAATTCGCCACTGAGTCTCTCCAGATTTTCCTATGGGCTTTTAAAATCATTTTTTTCTTTTTATGAGTTAAATAAAGCCTGTGGGAAACATAACTTGACGACATCTTTGACATTTTGTTCTACAACGTAAACTGCAAAGACTCGCACCCCAAATGTTCTTATCTAGTTACTTATTAGAAACATACATTTAAAAAAATAAACATAACAGCTGTGTACTGTGTACTGATGGACTAACTGGAGTGCTGAATGAGTTGGCAAAAATAGGCATCCTGGATATTGGTTAATTTCGAGTCAGAGTGACTGTCTGGCATGTCTGAAAGTGAGTTTGATTTTTGATCGAAAGTTTAACTTTTGATTGCGTAACCGACCGTTTCAGATGGTTCAGTCCGGTTTGGTGAATTGGTTCAACCAGTTCAATAAAAAGAACCGGCTCAAAAGACTGATTCATTCGCTAACTGAACAGCACTAATCCACTCATTTAAAGGCCGCATCTGAAGGAGCCTTTGAATTGGGACAGCCTTTGTCGTTCTGCTGTGACACATTTGGCCTTCTAACGCAGCCTTCGAAGGATGAAGCCCCTTGACTTGGGACACAGCTTTTGTTTTTACAGCTGGTATCTCCCCGGAGGTTTGCTGTTTTGAATGATCCGTGGGAAATTTACGCCACTTACACGATACAAGCACCACAGTAGCCAGAGCTACTTTTCTCTGTGTAGGAAAATGATGCGACACGCACAGGCAACTGACCTATATATGCAATTTCTCACGAAATCCATTCATACAGCCTAAAATATAAATGAGTCAAAATCTTCATGGGGTAATGAAACCGCAGTTTTAAAAAGGGATTTTTCAGTATTATTTATTTTACAACAGGATCTGCATTTTTCATTGGTTTAAATTAGTGCTGTCAAATCGATGAATCATGATTAATCGATTCTAAAATAAAAGTTTGTTAAACTATAATATACGTGTGTATAATATGTGTGTATATATATTATATTTATATATATATACTATATATAGTGTCTGTCTGTGTGTGTGTGTACACACATATATATATTATATATATATACACATATATTATATAAACAAACTTTCATTTTAGAATCGATTAATCGTGATTGATTTTGGACTCTCTCATAACTTTTTTTATTATTAAAAAAAAGCTACACAGTGTAACTATACTGGGATAAATGACTGAAATTGAAAATCCGCGAATGACCAATCAGAATTAAGTATCTCAGAGAGAGAAATACATTGAAAATGGATAAGCTTGTAATGTATGGGTCAGATTAAAATGAGCTCTAAAAGAAACCCCAGCAAAATGTTATGATTTGGTTGGTTCTGTTATGAATGCATTGGTTGGTTATGTTTATATTTTATACTGTGTAAATGTATGTATGAAATATCTATTTTTTTAAAGCTTTTTAACAGGGGTCTTATCAATTCAGTTCTGCCTAGCAATAAATGATTTTCAAAGGTACTGTCTTTCAGGCATCATCCTCCTCTTTTACTTGGTATTCTATGGCTTCTTGGCTGCCATGTTTGTCTTCACTATGTGGGTGATGCTTCAGATGCTGAATGACGACACGCCAAAGTATCAAGATCGTGTCGCATCCCCAGGTGAGTTTGTCAGTGTGCAGCACTTACTATCAGGCTGTACTGTGTATATAGTGCAACATAAAATTTGTAGTAAATTTGACAGTAAGTGTTAATTAAAAAGTGAAAATGAAAAGGTCTCATGGCTACATATTTCAAAGTTATAAATTATTTAAAAGGGGCCTATTATGCGAAATGAACTTTTACGTGGTGTTTGAACATAAATGTGTCGACAGTGTGTGTACACAACCACCCTATAATAATAAAAATGACTGTTTATGTGAACTTAATATTCACGCGACACACCGTCTGACATCCAGCTTTGGGTGTGTGCGCTCAGAAAACCACATATCTGAAGTTTAGACTGAAATGGCTTTAAGACACGTGCAGATAATACACTTTCATGATGATAAAGAACTGCAATGTCACGTTAGCGTGAGTATGATAGAAATGATAATCAAAACCAAACAGATGTTTTGTTAGTTTTTGGCAGAGTATCTGTAGCCATACAGGCTCTGCCCTGTTCTGGAAAACAGGGTGGGGAGCAGCAGCTCATTTGCATTTAAAGATACATGCACGAGAACAGTATGTTTTTCCTTCCACTCAAAAATGGGCATATACAACATAATAAATGTAAAATAAATTATCTGTGGGGTATCATTTCACATTCACATTCTGGGGACACCTGACACATATAATATCTTGTAAAAAGGGGCATAGAAGGTCCCCTTTAAAAAAGTAATATATTTAATATATAACTAACTTTTTCCTTTTCACAGGGTTGGTTATCAGGCCAAACTCTTTGAATATAGTTTTTAACAGATCAGAATCTCTTGAATATGGCCAGTACGTTCAGCATCTAGAATCGTTTCTGCATCGTAAGTGCTCTACACTTTCCCTCACCCTGCTTTTTTAATAATTTCTCATCTGGTTGCGTAGTACTTGGATACTATAGTCTTGTTTATTTATTATTTGTCTGTTTTCCATTTCCAGAGTATAATGACTCAGAGCAAGCCAAAAATGACTTGTGTATGGCGGGTCAGTACTCTGAGCAGGATGAGGAACCTCTGAAGAAGGTGTGCCAGTTTAAGAGGAGTTTACTCCACCATTGCTCTGGGATGGAGGACACCACTTTCGGCTATGCTAAAGGGCAGCCGTGTTTTATTGTCAAGATGAATAGGGTGAGTAACCTAACATGCACTACCATTCAAAAGTTTCGGGTCGGTATGATTTATTTTTTTGTTGAAAGAAATTTATTATTTTTAATTCAGCAAGGATGCATTAAATTGTTCAGAAGTGACAGTAAAGACAGTTTAAAGGCAGTTTAGTCTATTTCAGATAAATGCTGTTCATTTCTACTTTCTATCCATTAAAGAATCCTGAAAATAAATGTATCACGGTTTCCACAAAAATATTAAGCAGTACCACTGTTTTAATTAATGATAATAATAATAATAAGAAGAAGAAAAATGTTTCTTGAGCCAGCATATAAGTCAGTCAGCATATTACTAGAATGATCATGTGACACTGAAGAGTGGAGTAATGCATTTGCTACAGAAACAAGTACATGGATACTAGCAGGGGTGGACTGGCCATCTGGCAGACCAGGCATTTTCCCGGTGGGCCGATGTGCTTTTTGGGATGATACATCTAATACTTTTTTGTCATTTATTTTTTTGTCTGAACGGCACATAAAACTTGGCCCATGAAACACGTAGGCCCATGAAACACGTAGATCAGCGGCCCAGTGGTTATTTTCTTGATTGACACTGGGCTGGCCCAATCACATCGTTAAACATCTCCCCTTTGGAATCTGAGCGAGCATGCAGTCAGTTTGTAACTATCAAAATAGTCAGAGAGATGGACAAGAAACGCAAGGAGTGTGCAGAGAAATAGCGTGAAAAAAAGCAGACGCTTTTACCCTTCAAGCAGACGGTGTAAAATGTGTCAAAATAACAGATATGTTTTGTGCAGCAGCAGGACCTTCATCAGCTCCTGTGGCTGATGATGATAGTGTTAGTGAGGATAAGGAGACAGATGAGTGAGAGTAGAGTCCGGTAAGCATTACTCTCTACTTTCAAAACACTTAGGCTATGTAATGAATGTAGGAACCCATTACCCAGTTACACATTATTTCCAGATCTGCATAGTTGACGATTACTGGATTTTACTAGAATTGTAATGAGACACGTTTGTAAACATGTTTTCCGCCAAAATAAAAGCTTGATGCAGTTTCCGTCAAAATAAAAGATCATGTGCTTATCTCTTTCAAGTAGCCTATAGAAATTAGGACAAAACTAATTCTGAAAGTTTCCTTTATTTTTTAATGAATAAAAATATGTGACAGATGCTTAAAGTTGGCTTTACAATATGTAACCACACCAACCTCAAAACAAATGAGGAAAATCCAGCCTATTCAGCAGTTTTTCAATTCAGCGTTCACCGTTCAATAATATTGAAAGCCAAGTTACATCCGTCCATTTGGTCTATGCAATATAAGCCATCTGGAGAATCTGAAAGTGGATTTAAACATTTTGGAACTGTCACAATTTTTTTTTTCCATGAATGGGATCTCAAAAAGCCCCAAATCCATCTGGATTTAGCAAGAAACCAGAAATAAAAAACTCATCGAAATGATTATCCCCAGCAATTTCTGGATATAATAATAATAATAATAATTCATTACATTTAAATAGCGCTTTTCTAGGCACTCAAAGCGCTTCACATGGAAGGGGGAATCTCCTCAACCACCACCAATGTGCAGCATCCACTTGGATGATGCGACGGCAGCCATAGTGCGCCAGAACGCTCACCACACACCAGCTTACTGGTGGAGAGGAGACAGAGTGATGAAGCCAATCAGTGTGTATATATATATATATGGGAATTATTAGGAGGCCATGATGGACAGAGGCCACTGGGCAAATTTGGCCAGGATGCCGGGGTTACCCCTACTCTTTCGAAAGACATCCTGGGATTTTAAATGACCACAGAGAGTCAGGGCCTCGGTTTAACGTCTCATCCGAAGGACGGTGCTCTTTGACAGTATAGTGTCCCCGTCACTATACTGGGGCGTCAGGACCCACACAGACCACAGGGTGAGCGCCCCCTGCTGGCCTCACTAACACCTCTTCCAGCAGCAACCTGGTTTTCTCAGAAGGTCTCCCATCCAGGTACTAACCAGGCTCAGCCATGCTTAGCTTCAGTGGGCAACCAGTCTTGGGCTACAGGGTGATATGGCTGCTGGCAATATAAAAGCAATGTTCCCACAACATATCCCAATATACACAGATGGATCTAAATTTGGAAATCAAGTGGCAGCAGCTTTTGCAACAAATGATGATGGAGGGCCAGTGTGGTGGAACTGAAGATTGAGGAGGATCAGAGTCAGGGCGGAGGCGGCAGGGCAGGTGGCTAGGGCGGACCAGGCAGAGCTGGTGGAACTGGAGATTGAGGAGGATCAGAGTCAGGGCGGAGGCGGCAGGGCAGGTGGCTAGGGCGGACCAGGCAGAGCTGGTGGAACTGGAGATTGAGGAGGATCAGAGCCAGGGCAGGTGGCTAGGGCGGACCAGGCAGAGGTGGTGGAACTGGAATAGAGAGGTTACGAACAGCCTCTGTGACAGTAACAGGAAGCACAGAGGGTTCAGAGAAGGCCTCCTTTGCCAATACAGGACAGGTGGAGAGTTCAGAGTCAGCCTCTTTTGCCGTAACAGGACGGGCAGAGAGTTCAAGGACGGCTTCTCTGGTCATGTCAGGGTAAATAGAAAGTTTAAGAGTGGACGCCGCCTCTTCAGGAGGAGCTGGAGTGGATGGCGCTAGGTTCTACGGAACCAGTAAAATGCTCTATACCTTTCACAGACCTGAAAGCAACATTAAATGCATCAGTGCTTAAACAAAAATTTACGTGAAATAAATCTTGATGTTGGGACAAGACATCTTTTTCCCTTATAATAATCGCTGGGGTCAAGTCATTGACACAGGATGCCGGGTAGGAAACTTGCACACAAATTTTTACTATCAGGAGAAAATTCTTTGTTCGTTCTTTGTTCATCAAGTGTTCATCTTGTCAGAATCCACTGTCCATTAAAACATATTTTACTGGACTGTAATACTTCTACCCATTTGAGGAACTTTGTTTTAATCTGTTGAAACTTTTAAAAAGGTTTTTATTCAAGTAAATCCAAAATCAGTTATAAGGTTTTTAGAAACAATGAATCTTAAACATCTAAAGAAAGAAAGAAAGAAAGAAAGAAAGAAAGAAAGAAAGACTGGAGTAATGGCTGCTGAAAATTCAGCTTTGCCATCACAGCAATACATTACATTTTAAAATGCATTGAAATAGATCTTTCAAAAATAATAAACCCCAAAGATTTGAATGGTGGTGAATACAAAACATTTCATTCCAAATTAATAATGCATTATCAAATTGGCTAGGTGTTCATATCTACTTACTGACTGAGGGTGATATAGCATTATTCTTTACCCTCAGGTCATTGGTCTCAGGCCATCTGGAGATCCGTACATCAGCTGCACATCAAAGGTAACAATTGTAAACCTGTTTAATATGGAAGTAGATTAAAGAATTGAATTTACATTTCTGATATTAAGATATAGTAGACCATATAAGATCATAAATGTACAAGTTTGTATCTGTGGTGTTTTTTGTGGATTAAAGCTGCAATTTAAAAGAGAATCACTCAATCATTTTCCTTAATCATTAATCATTTTGGTTCGCTTACACCAAGCTATAATGAAGGTAAAAATCACGTGACCAATGATAGCGTATGATGTCAGCAAAGCAGAGGTCTGATTGGTCCCCATACAGCTCTAACCCTTTTAAGGTGTTTCATTGCTCTGCAAAGCAGCCAATGTAGGACCAGAACCTCTTGGGTGTTTGTCAGTGTTTTCTGCAGTTTTCTTATGGATTTCAGCTTTAAGGTTTGATTTATATGTTGTTGTGTCTCCTGCTTGAATTTCAAATTGTTACTCCATCCTCTCAAATGTGTGTTTTTTTTTTTCCTTTTCCTCTCGTGTCTCAATTGCATGCTGCCAGTTGAACTCCTTAGTAAAGTGATGGGTAAGATCACTGTATATATGGTCTCTCTCATTCACCCGGTCATTTGCCACCGATGTGATTGAGCATGTCTCTTATCTATATGCTGTCATTCCTTACTTCAGACTTTCTGCAAGCTTTAACATAGAAATAACATCTTATCAGAATTAGGGATGCGCTGATATGTTAAATATTATCTAAAATGAACTATAAATAAACAACTAAAAACTAAGATCAATAATTTTAAATGTTACAGGTGAATTTAGGGAACTGTTATTGTAATTAAAGATTAACTTTGTAAGTGCGTGTTAGATGGTGGCAAAGGTAATTAATTATGTGCACAATTAAATATATAATATCAACGAATTCAAATAAATTGAAAAATCTGTAATATCGGCTGATATCTCATGCATCCCTAATCACAATCGATTGATTGACTATTCTCGCAGTTTATCATTTAAATATTTTCTTAGATGAGTTGCTAATGCTACTTTTGATCAAGATGGATGCCTAATACTGGGGCAAATTGTAATTTATTTAGCATGGCAACGCAGCAGCATGTCTTTCAGCGCTTATTTTCTCCAAAGCAAGGTCTGCTTCTTCTGCTGGGATTAATTATGCACTGCATTCAAATGTGTTATTACGCTGCATCTGCTGTATATGTCAAATGGATGATTTATATCAGTGATGCAAAGCTAAAAATGGCAAACTATTTAGTGGCCTTTTAATGGTCTTAACCATTTTAATCACAAATCACTGGTCTGGAAATGAACAAGTATGGCACAAATACTGTGGATAAAGTAACTCAGCATTGAAATAGCCTTCCCCTTTGTTTTCTTGAAATTTTTAAGAGGTGTGGTAAACTTGCAGACAGCTTTTACAGGAAGAAGAGTCAGTGTTCTTCAAACAGCTCACGAGTAGCTGAAAAATGTCTCCCAGTTCGACTGAGTTTAATGTGAGACCACATATTCACTAGGGTTCATATCTGGACTTAGCCTGGATGCCAGCCCTAACCCCGCCCACAAATTTTTTTGGTCGGGAAGTTCGGTCTGGACTCGATCCATTGAGGAGTAATTATGATCGGTTCAGAAATCGCCGGGCCAATCAAATTGCCAGGGCGGGCTTTATACGATGATGGACAGATGATCTGCAGTTACGTAATCATCACGTTATCAAAGAGCGCTTGGGTTGAACTGGTTTTCCTCAAAGTTGACTGCAGCTGGAGATTCGAGATGTAGAGATTCCGCTATTGCGTCTGTTGTAAAAGAAATCGACAGCGCATTCATTTTAAAAGACGAACAGAGAACTGCAATCAAGGCATTTGTCGATCGGCAAAATGTGTTTGCCGTCCTTCCTACGGGATTCGGCAAAAGTTTATTTTATCAGCTGGCTCCGATGGTCACTAAGAAGATGGGACGCAATGAAAACCCTGTGGTCGTTGTGGTTTCCCCTTTGGTCGCACTCATGGAGGACCAAGTAAAAGAAGCAACACTCATTATTTTACTACTTCTTCCAGCGTGCGTGCAGTTGAGTTCTGTTGACAACTATGTGTAGCTCAACATACGTCACTTACTGCGTTGCTCTGATTGGTTGTAGGTCTATCCAATTTTTTTTTTTTTTTTGGTTCGGTTAAGACACGCCTCATAATCTAAGCCCTATGGAGCAGTATCAGACTCACATTCTGACTAGAATATGAGTATGACGAAGTCAGGCCAATCTGGACTCTGACCAGGCCAAAACATGAGCCTGATGGCCACTTTTTGGTTGTCTTTGCCGTTTGGGCCGAAGCATTGTCTTGTTGAAAATAACATTGATCATTCCTCTTTAGATAGCAACTTTTCATTTGTGGAAAGCAAGCCATTCTGCAATATTCTCCTGTACTCCAAAGCATTAAATAACTTTTCACAGTGGAGTAGCTCACTAATACCTGCCGCTAAAAAGGCTCACCACACAATGACACTCTTCCTCTATTCTTCACTGGGGTAGAGATGCATTTATTATTATATTACTTAGCAGATTTTCGAAGACACCGCTCTGGAGCATCACAATGCAACTCGTGGTGTGTCATTGTAATTCATCACACACACAACTTCCCATATTCTGCCAAAAACTTTATTGTCTGTGATGTTTTTCTGAGACAGCAATAAGAAGTGCATTTACTTTCTTTTTTTCTAATTTCCTGACCAATAATTTGTGGTTAAGACTATTTAAAAGCTTAGTGTTTAGCCATTTTTTGTGTACATCAAATGGCATCATCCACTCTCACCCAGTGACAGTCTGTTGTCTTCTGTTGTCTGACGGTATTTTCTTGCTTCTCTTCAGAGTGAGAAACCTCTTCAGATGGAGTATTTCCCCCATGAGGGGACTATTGATAGGATGTACTTCCCTTACTATGGGAAAAAGACACATGTAAGTACGGCGCTCAGCACATGCTTAAAGGAATATTCCAGGTTCAATACAAGCTAAGCTCAATCAACAGTAGTTGTAGCATGTTGAATAGCACTAAAACAATTCCACTTGTCTGTCCTTTTCTAAAAAAAAAGGTTCAAGTATAGATTACAGTGAGGCACATACAATCGAAGTGATTGGGGTCAATTCATAACTGTTAAAATATTTAATTTGTATAGATATAAGATAACAAAACAATGTGTTAACATGATTTTTGTGTGAAAAGAAATCGGCTTTTCTGTGTATCCAATTTTACAACTTTATTGCCATAATGAAATGCCATAAACCCTGAAGTAATCAAATATAGAAGTTTTAATGTGCCTTTTAAAAGTACTTTTATAAAGTACCCTTCACATTTCTGTTTTTAAATCCTCACAAAATTGGCCCTATTAAAGGGTTAGTTCTCCCAAAAATGACTTACCCCCATGTCGTCCCAAACCCGTAAGACCTTTGTTCATCTTCAGAGCACAAATTTTAAAGAAAAAACGACGGACAAGTACAATGGTACTCTAAACTATGTTATGATGACATTTCTCTCAGAAAATATAGTATTAGATCTTAATTTGATTGTGTATGTGTGTGTGTGTAGTGAAGTACACATTATTTCACCTCTGTTTTTCTGTCTCTGATCCTCAATAGAAGGGTTACGTTCAGCCTCTGGTTGCTGTAAAGCTGTTGCTTAAGAAGGAAGACTATAACTCTGAGCTGATTGTAGAGTGCAAGGTAGAGGGCTCCAACCTCAAGAACAACGACGAGCGTGACAAGTTTCTTGGCCGCGTCACCTTTCGGGTCCTGGTGACCGAATAAAGCAGTTGCTGGTGCGGACAATAAAGGGGTACTTGCACTACTTTACTCCCTGTTGTCCCTCCCATGTACGTCCTGCTGGTCCTCAGCAGGTCGAAAGGACCTAATTTAACACTCCACAGACAGGCATGACTGATTGATTTTTGTTAATGAATCCCCCTGTTTAGTCTCCTGCCAAGCACCTCTTCCTGCTGAAGACGTGAGCGTCTCTGAACGTTTAATTGTATTTTAACCCTGGGCCTTGCATTCCCTAGATGTTTCGAATTCTTTAACATCATTACGTTGTACCCTTAAAGGGATTTTGTTTACATTGTACTGGATGAGACGGGTTAGTTGCTATCTTAATCCTTGGTTGGTGTTTTTTTGTGTTTGTGTTGCTCTGTGTGAATATATTTAATGATCGTATTGTCATATTGCTGTAAGAATTGTTGAAAAAGTGGTATTATTTGACACATTTTTGAAATATGAAATACGGGAGGAGCCAAATTTTTAACCTAAATGATATTCATAACCTCTGCATGGATCCTCATTCATGCAGATGCCTTAAGAGCCATTTAACACCTTGGTAAAAAAATGCTATTTTGACAAATAAAAAGAAAACACATGAAAGTAGTGGTTGTAGATGGTCTGTTATATCCTGAATGTACCACATGATGGCGTTAAGACAGTGTTGTTGAACAGAGTTCTTTAACAAAACAATAGAGATGCATAAACCTGTCTTTTTCTTTCTTCAAAATGACAACAATTGTGCTAAATAGCAATTTGTTTGAAATATACAAGCATGATTGTATTTACATTTGAACTCTTACTGCACTGAAACATGCATACGGTGCCATACGTCGTATTTGTTTAACTTAACCATGTCACAGTGCTCAACCAAACATAGCACTGTCTGTTCCTGCCAGCAGCTATCAATAAATCAGTGGTCTGCGTCAACTGATTAGTTGACCACATTTAGTCACAGCGACGAGAATCTGTTTCAGTCTATGTACATAGTTGGTCTTTTAAGCTGGCCAATGTAGCAAAGTCGCCTGTGAACGTTAAGTATACACTTTTGAATGTCCAGCTTTTGCATTTATAGTGTTTGTGGGATACTTATAGTCAAGTCACGTGTTAGGCCAGGACCATTTTAACTGGGACCACGAGGGGGTCCATGACAAAATAATTTTTTTTATAAAATAACCATGTTATTTTAAGACAAATATAACATTTATTATTATTATTACTGTTTAATTTTGCATTCTAATAGCTGGTCAGAAAAAAATTTGATCACTTTTGCCTACACTCTCACTAACTCACACATAAGCTCATTTTCAATATTACTTGATAAGAAGGAGTGGGATCTGTTTGGCTTAACAGGGTCTTTAGCTTTGCCACCTGGAGAATTCCAGCTTCTAACTTACTTGTGTATTCTCAGTCATAAACAGCACATATTAACTGTATTATGAACACCATCTCTACTTGTTCCTTGCCTAAAAAAAGCTCAGGAGTGATGTAACTTTGAAACCAGACTGCTATTCTATGATCTCAACGTAGATCATAAATTGGTGAGAGACTGGTGAGTGCGAGTCATCTTGGTTCAGCAAATCAGACTGGAGGTTGCAAGGATTAGAGGTTGATTTAAGTACGCGAGTGTAAGCCAGATTATCGCTTTACAAGATAAGTGTGGTGTACTGAATTCAGCCCAGAACTTTGTGATTTGACTCCTTAATCTGGGGAATATTTTTAGGTTTTGACTCTTGCAGGTTTTTTAGCGTGCACCAACGATTTCCATTGGTGCATTATGTGTGAGATTAATCTTAAGATTCCGTTATCTCAGGAACATGTATGAGTGAAAACATGGAAACATTAAAACCTCTGCAAGTGAACTGTGACTCTTCATTTAAATTCAGTGATTTGATCAGTGCCAAGATAGTAGAGGTTTACTGATTAGCGCCAAAAACACAGATTAGGAGGGGAAAAAGATCAGAAATAAATCTGTAAAAGAAAGAGATATTTTATTGACCCATTTCGAATATCTGACATTTCTATTTAGAATCATTCTCAAACCTTATATACAATTATATTTAACCATTTTTACTTAACTGACAAAAAGTAAAAACACTGGCAAAGACAAAGAACAAATAATTCATTTGGTCCATTTTATGTCACTTACTGTTATTTTTACAATAACCAGTTTTCTTTTGCTCTTGCTCAGGATTATAAAAGCAACACAAATGAAGACTGTAAGGGGGTCACAAGCTGCACCTTGGTTACGTAGCTCAACTAGTGAGGATTGAGCAGACGTATCAGTGCTAAAGCTCTCTCTCTCTTTGATCCCTTGAGGATTGAACTCTTTCAGCTGAACTTTCCTGTAAAGGAAGTATCTATCCCATCATATCAGAGAGGTAAAGAAGTAACAAAACACAAAAGGAATTGTTACCTTTAAATGCTAAATAATCAAGCTCTGATTTTATTTCATTTCAGAGCTATTCATATATATATTTATATATATATATATATTGATTTATTCATATTTATATGTACATATTTATACACACATATCCTTTCAAAATCTAGGTGTGAAATCAGAAATGCCCTGCTATCAAAGATCACAAGCATGAGTTAACAATTCATGCGAGACTTTCGACAACAGAGATCATTTGAGCTCCATTGGACAATTACACAATTCATTCATATGCACTTTTGTTAGCATGTAGCTGTTTACCTGTGTCACAGGCAGGCCCACACGGAATCTGTGTGCATGGAATGCTCCGCAGATTTCCGCAGAATTGGAACGTCGATCGTTCACAAAATGTATGCTTCCTTCACATTTATTTTGTTAAATATTTTGGCTAATCTGGGACTAGCCATCTGTCCAGGGTGTTTCCCTGCCTATGGTTTAAGACCCTGAAAAAGGTTCCAGCATCCCCGCAATCCTACACATGGCAAGCGGTTTGGAAAATTGATGGATGGATGAACAAATTTTGTCATATTTAATTGTAGTACATTCCAATTCTGAATTTTGAGATAGTATTCCGCAGATTCCATCTGGGCCTGGTCTTCAGTAGCCTCTCTTATGGTGTGCATCCAGGAGATGCCAAAATGTACTAGTACACCGTGAACTAATCCACAAATAAAGTGTGATTTGGCAAGGCAGGAGATGTTTGGAACGCAAGCCACTGCTTCTTGAGGATGACTCTTTTTCTTTTTTTTTTCTTTTTTTTGCATATCCACACATCTCTACCTTCTGATCACAAACTGCTGTCGATTACATCGAGTCGCTATAGTTACATAATAATCTTAAAGTCTCTTTAAGTGCGGCCTGTAGTCCTCTACTCTTCTAGCATCTTCTCATTAGGGAATAGTACTTTTACTTGCGCCCCCTGGTGGATAGGAGGCTGACTACTTCACAAGACATAAAGGAACTCCAGGGAAGAACTTTCCTGACTGGTCCAAAGCTCAGTCCACCACATCATGGATAGTCTAGAGTGATTCTCAGACCATTTTTCTGTGCAGATGATGTGTCCTTCTATGCTACAATGGACAAACGTCCCATCTCATTCCAATCACGCTTCACTCTTCTTCGACACAGAGCACAGTTTCAATTATATTAGTAATGCCACTGAAAGCATTTGTTGGTGAATAGTGGGCTGGGTGGCTGGATTGGTCCCTCACAGAAGTGTGCAAGTGCCTGATTTCTTATCATCATCTGAACCACCGGCTGATTCTTTCCGGTTGGGGTCGTTGAGCTCATCAAAGAGTCCTGTGTCTATCATCTCCTGTTGCCAGGCAATGGGCACAGCACCTGTGCTAAACTCCTTGAAGAATTTATCATCCTTCGCATCAAACTCAATACCCTTGATTTCAGAGAACTCAGCAATGTCACCTGTATCCTTTGCATAGACAACGTTGGGTTTGGGCACCCAGGGAGGATCGATAAGGCCGGCCTCCAAGCGAGCAAAGTTGATGGACTTGAACCACTCGTGTTTCCTTGGATCATCACCCCTGTGAAAATAGTACAAATAACAATTATACATCCTGACCATGTGGGAAAATGAGTTTGATGCATTTCATAATATTTCCTTCATGTTCAAGACAAATCAAAGCTTTTGGTCATTGTTACACTTGGCCCAAATGAAGAGATAAAACCTAGATAATCATCTTCGCCAAGTCATACAAATTTGCTACAATAGCTTTGACTGATAGGATACTAATGAAGTCCTACCCTTGTTATGACAGATTTCATACAGGTTAGGGTCCAAAAATCCTGCTTTAACACCTCTGATCACACTGAAGAATCAGGAGGTTAAGAGGGATAGAAGGACTTACTTGCAGCCAAGACGCTCATCAATCTTTTTCTTAAGAAACTGCTTGATGATGTCTATAGTGGCAGCGTCAAAGTTCTTGTGCTCAAACTTGGGTTCCTCATTGATGATGCGCCTCTGTACCTCCTCCTTCTCCACTTTCTCCTTCTTGGCATCAGGGCCTTTGAAGGGGGTGTAGCCAGCCACCATTTCATAGATACTGCAGCCCAGTGCCCACCAGTCCACTGATGTCCTGTATGGGATATCAGTGAGGATTTCAGGTGCCATATATGCACCCGTTCCAGCCTGTGAAAAGAGACTGGAACTTTAATATTTTTATTTCTTGTGTGGAAACTGGTTAGATAAGATGCTAAATGTTTCCTTTTTATGAAACTGTGAGGGTTTGTGTAGCAATGTTTTGCTATGAGGGTTTGTGTAGTTTGTTCATCAGATTAAGGACTGTAGTAGTAGAGCATTTTATGTAAGTATTAACCTATCTATTGCTCGTACCTCACTTCCTCTCTTTGCCAGAAAGAGGAAGCTTAATCTTAATCCTCTACTACCTGTCAGGTGTCATGTGCCGATCCACTGTGATGAAGCGGACTTATATAAGACAACCATTCTTAGGTTCAAATGGACATGTGCACCTTTTGTGTACAGACATGATTTCACAGCTATATGGCTAATTCAACACCAGAGCAACAGTAATTCTTCAGTTTACTTGCATGGCTCTAAGACTGATCACTATGTGCACTTAAAAAACCCCATTTAATGGGGTTTAAACCACAATAATAATTAAAACACAATCATATTAAAAAACTAAGATCGGCAAAATAGTTGTTTTTTGGCTAAATAATCGTATACAATGTTTTATCCTAGAGTAATGCTAAGTAGAAACTGTGTTGTATTCTTAAGACACTGGTAATTCATATGGCTTAGTCCAAGTGGAAAGCCCTCCTGAAATGCAAAGAACTATAACAAGACATAGTAATTGACAGGGTTAGTCTCAGTCAAGCTAAAATGTAATGATTACATGGAAAGATCATTGTGCTAGGTTAACATAATCAGTTTACCTAAGCCAGAATGACTTAGACCTTGAGACCACTGAAGATATAGTTTGTGCATATAGTGTAGTTACATTAAAGTTGTACAACCTCCAGAAGATAAAGGCTCTAATAACAGTCAATAAAATGTTCATTAAAGACATAAACGACTGCAAAGAGCAGTGATAACCACAGTCTTATAATAGTCAAAATATAAAACAAATATAAAATGCATCCCCCTCCCTCTGCTTTTGGCTGTCTGATCAGAGACAGATTTGTGTAATTCTTCCTAAGAGGATCAGGAGTGTAAAGCCAGCCAAACCCCCAGGGGTTCAGCTTGGGCTTCAACCTGCACTAAGGACTCAAGAAGGGCACTGGATAATAAGCTTAGGCTCACTGCATTAGAGTTTGTTCATTTTGACATTTGACATCAAAAATGAACAAGTCATCATGAGGGGCAGAGCTGAGTATGCAACCTCTTTTTGTCCACAAATGTGAGAAAAATATGAATGGGTGGCTTACACTACCACAAGCAAAAAACAAAATCAAAACAAAGGTAAAGTTCAGGAAAGACATGATGAAGTTAGTATATTCCTCATTATAATATTTATCATCGACAATGTATCTGTGCAAATCTAAACAGTCTTAACAGTGTTTAGATAACTACTTTCTAAAATGCCTTTAAACTCTGAAAATAGGTTAAAGGTTCGATTAACAGAACATTTTATTGGGAAATTTAATTGTTCAGATTTTTGTTACCTATGGCATAATTTCTTGAACGAGCTTTCAATTTACTTCCGCAAATCCCCGCTCAGACAAAAAACTCACTTGGTGTTTTATTCAATAGTCAAATTCAATAGTAAAAATTCTCCTGATGTTTGGATTTATCAGAAGCTTCCCAGTTGCTAATGATGTATTGTCATTTTGCCATCACTGATGCTGCACTATGTTAAAAGATTTCAGGTTATTTTGTATAACACTGTTTTATTGGCATGAGGTAGAGACCCAGTCGTGCTTTTGGGTAGAGGTGAAGCACTTGTGGGCCTTCTGTAGTCAAATTGTTGTGTCATAGAACCATTTTTAGCATAGTTTAGTTGGAAGCTATAGGAGAGTTTCAATGCAGAGAATATTGTGGACTAAATACTGACATAAATAGGGAAAATAAATACAATTTAATTAATTAAAATACATTTCAAGAAACCCCTCAGTCACAATTATCTGTGGCCCACAAATTGAAAAGTTAAAAAAGACAATGAGCCAAGGGTGCAGTTAAGGACACAGCAGCTAACTGATCCTTGTATTGCTTCTGCATGCTGTCTTTAGGTCTGTTTACAGGTGCAGCTGCACTAAGGGTGATGAAGATCACCAGGAATTATATAACAGATACAGAGCATCACGCTAACACAGGAGTAATCCAGTGTAAAAGACGAACAATCCGAGGTTGCTAACAGTGTTACTGAAAATCTTTAAAGTCCTGGTGGCTGAAGACTGCTTAACTTAGATTTGAACTAAACCAGTGGTCTCAAACTGTGCTCAGAGGACCACTAGGAGTCTGTAATGGAATCCAAGTGGTCCACATGTTGAATGGCTGTTTTCTCACTTCAACGATGTAGCTCAAAGTTTTGTGTCAGTCTTCGGTTCAACTTAGCTAGTGAATAGTCTATTTAGACTGTTTAGTTAAAAGTAGCAGTCTAATTTGTTTACTTTCTTTCTTTTTTAGTCTAATTTAAGATAGTGTAGTCTAATCCAGTCTTGTTTATTATAATATACAGTATATGTATGTATATATATCCACCTTCTGAAGAAGTTTGAGAAGCACTCTCCATACTTCCATTCTCATCTCACACAAGTGCTATCCGATGCCTTTACCCATACTAATCACAGCATAGAGATGATTAACTCACCTTTTGGGTAATGGTCTTTCCCTCAGGAATCTCCACAGCAAGACCAAGATCTGAAAGACGGCACTGGCCTTGGCTATCTAAGAGCACGTTCTCCGGCTTCATGTCACGGTACACAATGTCCATGGCATGCAATTGCAGGATCCCAGTTGTAATCTGAGCTGTATAATAGACGATTCGATCCATTTCGATACCCTTCTCACCAATGTTATAGATGTGATACTTGAGATCACCTCCATTCATCAAGCTCATGACCAGGCAGAGATGGGTTTTGGTGTCGTAAGCATATGCCAGGGTGACAATGAACAGGCTGTTGACCTTCTCCAAGATCTTCTTCTCCAGAAGGGCCATTTTCTCACCATGTTTCTTCTTGAGACGCTTCTTGCAGAGCTTCTTGCAAGCGTACATCTGGCCAGTGTTCTTTACCTGCACTGCACACACCTGAAAATGTAAATGTCAACATGGTCAAGTTTGAGAAACTACATCATAATATCTTTGATTCGAGACGTGTACCCATCATCTAAAATGTATGCTAATAGGTTGCACTTCATGAATAGAACCTACCTCTCCGAATCCACCCTTTCCGAGTGTCCTGAATTCGTAGAAGTACTTGTCTGTGATTGGCTGTTTCTCATACTCTTTCCACTGCAGAAACCTTTCGAAGAATTGGCTAGTCTGGTAATCTGTAAACGGTTTGCCTTTTAAGTATTCTTTGGTGACCTCCTTCACCTGTGCCATCACCTCCTCGAAATCTTTGTCAGTAACCGCCTTGCACTTGGTTGCTACATCTCCAGTCAGGAAGGTGAGGGAGCTCTTGGAACCATCTTTGCAGAACTTGTTGATGATATTTGTACGGGCCTTGTCTTTGGCAGCAGCCTCTGACAATTCCCAATCATACAGATCATCCAGAAATTCTGCAGCAGTGGAGCACTCTGGCCCCCCTTGTTCGAGGTACTGGCGGAACATCTTCTTACCTATAGGCTGCTTTTCGCAGAGGGACTCAAAGTCCATGTCCAGACTCGTCCTGAGTGCCGCACATTGTTCCGCCTTGGGGAGAGACAGACTTCGGCGACGTTTCTTCATCTCCTTGTCATCACCCCCTTGGGCTTTCAGGTAGGCCGTGTTGGCCACCAAATTATCAAGTCCCCCCATGTCACACATTTTGGCGGCTGTGTCAAGTTACTCGCCCAAGAGAAATGAAAGCTCCGCACACTGCTTTATCAGGCTAGAAGATGCTACTGCCAGTGGTCAGTGCGTTTGTGTGCTACTCGCTTTGAAGCCAAGGCGCGAATGAGCCACTAAGACGCATGCACCTGCAGACCAAGACACACTGACAACCCAGTAATTACTCATTTAGAATTAAATACCTGCAAGGGATTTTCACTTAAGTATATTTGTGTGGCCTATACTCAGCTACTATTCAAGGAAAGGAACTTATAAGAGGGTTCTCCCACTAAGAAGCTTTAGGGCTGACTATATTTAGGCAGATGCAGAGTGCTAGTCAACGAATGGCCATTGGGCTCTGTTGTCTAAACATAAATGGTGATACGATGAGAGGAGCAAAAAATGTGAGAGCTAACAGCTCAGCATGGTGTGTACAAAATGCTGAGGCTAGCAGGACGCACTAAAACTTTCTCCTGTTGTTTACAGACCATTGGCTAATGTGCTATAGCAGCACCAAATTCCAAAAAAGAGGCTAATGTCTATCTGCTGATACAATCAATCATATGATTTTGTATTATTTTACAACAGTATTATCACTCAGGGATTCGTCCTGAGCAATCACAATTTACCTGTGCTTACTGGTGTATCACCATGTTTCAGATAACTGTGCAAAATTGTAAGTAAGTGTGTTTTTTCTACTTTGTAAGAGCAAAACAAGATTTTGTTAATTATTGAGCATGTCTATTTATGCAGGATAAACAGATGAACAATCAGTACAATATAAATGCATATTATGATGTACTTTGTTTGAATGCAAGAAAAGGGTAGGCTAATAATAATCTTGATTCACAATTTCTGATGAATTTCCATCTCATTATTTGTCCAGTTTGTCCTGCTTATCTTGTGGTCTTGCAGGTCAATGCAGGTTATGATGATGTTTTGTTTAAATGACATTTGTAAGTTCAAACTTCTTACCCTCACGGGTTGCACTCTGCTGCACTGGCCTTATTTCTGCAGTGTGCCAGTCTCTCTTCGACCTGCTTTAATGAGCATTACCTTTCACATTAATTCCTTCATTGTACTGTGCTTTGAAATACTGAGAGCAGAGCACCGACTTAGGTGAGCATTTAAATTGGTTTAATTCCACAAACTGTCCCTCACATAATATCTTACACTAATTTGAAAATAAATATATAGAATAAAGTGAAGTGACGGAAATTGTCCTCTGCATTTAACCCATCCAAGTTAGCGTACACACATTAGGAGCAGTGAACACACACACACACACACACACAAATACACACTGCAAACCATGGACACACACACCCAGAGCAGTGGGCAGCCATTTTTGCCCAGGGAGCGATTGGGTGTTTGTTGCTTAAGCCAAGGGCACCTCAGTCATTTCCTGCCAGTATTGAGCAATCAAACCCGCAACCTTCAGGTTACCAGTCTGACTCTCTAACCATTAGGCCATGACTGCCCTCAATACAAAAAATTCTAATATAAAAATAAAACATATAATATAAAATATAAATTTTAATATATATATATAGTTTTTATTATTATAAATTACGTTAAAGCTGCAGTCCGCAGTTTTTCCTCTTTGTCGCAATCTCTGTTCAAAATCTGCAATTGCAGTTATTCGCGGAATTATCAACTTTTCGTGAGTTGTACTTCGACACGGCACAGCGCGGATGAACACAATGTCTGAGGAGACTGTGAGGCTGTCAGTCACCACGCCGGTGTGGATACTGGCATTCAGAATCACAGATTATTCTTTTTGGAAGTATGACCAACATAAGAATTTTCACCGGAAAATGTCATCTGAACAAGTAAGAAACATCCACTTTTGTTCTGGTTCTGACATTGCAGTAAATCGCGCTGATTAAATCTAACAATCGCTTATCATATCACGCAAAACCGTGCAAATTATACTTTGTTCTCAAATTGTTAATGTTAACAACGTCAGCATTGCGTGACTACATGTAATGTCCTTCCGATATTATCCTTGTTTCCGCATGGTCCGGTTGCAGTCTCTTTTTTTCTGTAGCCACTCCGAAGTCCGAACAAAGTCTTTTGCATTTTACAACGGGTGAATCTCTAGTCGTCACTGGTGATTGTCATTTGAACCTTTTTGGATCCGTCATCAAATTGATAAGTTTAATTATATCAAGTGCTGTGAGAAAAGGCTATAAATCTCCACCTCCAGCATCCTCACACGCAATATAGCCTACTAGCCGAGACTCCTTCTTTATGTGTACAGATGTGACGTAATGACGCAAAGACATGCTCGAATCTCCCGCGGAAATCCACCAGTACTGGAATTAAAAACATTATTACAAGCTTACCGTTTTGAATCGAGCTAAGGCAAGCAGATAGTTTTGAACACTGGCTGGTTATGTTTTTTCTCAAATATGTATTTTGGATCATTTTTAACCCCCAAAAAGCTACGGACTGCAGCTTTAAGTCACATATATATATATATATATATATATATATATATATATATATATATATATATATATATATATATATATTGCTTTATGTAATTTATCATAGATATAAAAATTTTATAATAAATCATTAAAAAAAGATTGAAACAAGATACAGTATACACAAAAAGCATTAATATATTATGCAAAGCAAAATGCAAGTCTCATGGAACATGATGGACCGCATTGGTTACAGTTCTGCCATCTTGACATGGATTTTGTATGCTCCAGGGGTCACGTAGTAACAGGAATTACACAATTCTCCTACTGTTTGAGAGAGATCTCTGTATCTAAGGCTGTGCGCATCAGTATAAGCTAATTCAGTCCGCTAAAGCTAAGCTAATATGAGTTAATCCATACCAAAAGTGTCTTATGCTTCTAAAACAGTGGGAGTAGGGGGTCTCATTCATACACTAAGACGTTAAAGCTGCTCAATCAAACTTTCTAGGTAATGTTGAACATCAGCCATATGCAGTTAAAGGGTTAGTTCACCCAAAAATATAAGTTTTGTCATCACCCTCAAGATGTTCCAACCCTGTATGACTTTTGTCTTCTGCTGAACACAAAAGATATTTTGAAGAAGGACGGCATAAACAGTTGATGGTCCCTCTGACTTCCTGGATAGTAAGTTAATGGGGCCTGTAAACTGTTTGGTTACCGACATTCTTCAAAATATCTTCTTTTGTGTTCAGCAGAATAAAGAAATTCATACAGGTTTGGAACAACTTGATGCAAATGATGGCAGAATTTTCATGTTTAATTTCCGTCCTGTTGAATGACAATTCGAAGCCACAGAGCACTATGTTCTACACTTCCCTTTAAGAGGACGGAAGATGTATTTGTAGCTGAAAAGGCTTCAAAATCAGTGTGGGAAAATAAAACATTCTTTTTCCTTTTAGGCTGTTATGTTGCAGTCTGGAAAACCACAGGAAAAACAATTGTATAGGTACACCTACATATTATATTATGTATACTGCACAAACATAAAAGTCTGTTTATGAAGAAGCAGGTAAAGGACGAGTAGGCTACATATCTGTACGCATGGTCAAATGGTAACTCTGCACATATTCGCTCTTTAGATTTGACACAGCTAGGCAGTCATCTCTGTCCTTCATGGCAGTAGAATCGCCTTGTCTCACCTGGAGATCGCCTTCTCTTTCAAGAGAGGATTACGGAGGTGGTGGAGGGAGAGAACAGACTAACAATCCTCCTTCTGCTTTTAGCCCACAGACACAAAGTAGCTACTGAGCAGATCAGCGGGTCAGTCAAAGAAATGGCAAGATACAACAGAAACAAGAGTCAATTTACATATAATACCTGATATCGGACAGGCTGGTATGCTATATATTGAAATGTTTATTTTCACCACAACAGACAAAATATATCAAGAACAGCACATTTACGGTGTCCACTGCATGTCTACTATAATAATTAGTCCTTTGCTTTTGTGACAATATACAGACAGACAACAAATTTGGCTACTGGACGTCGTCTAAAATGAGGAGGCTACAGTCCACTTAGAGCTCATGCTAAAAAGTCAAATCAGAACCATCAGTCCCAATGTCTTATAGCATCATGCCACAAGTGACACTGACCTCTAGTGGATTACTGACATTATTCCATAATCATTGTGAACTGGTAAGAAACATTAAAATGGTGGCAAGAACTTTGACTGAGAAACACATGAAAATAAACTAAACATCTCAGATGGACAGAGAACTGAGCAACAGTACAGGAGCAACAAGGGCTGAAGGCCTCTCAGCATAAAGTCAATGAACCTTTTTTACTTTTTCATAAATTGATTTATTTTATAGGCCTAATTGGTTAACGTCGGACTCGGGATGAAACGGAGGTTGCTATTGCCATTTCTCTCTATTTGTGACATATAGGGTGAATTCAGGTAAAGTGGGCCGAGCGCGAATCTCCCTCGCTCATCGGTTCGAAGTAGGCTTGTCAAATAGCAAAGTACAACGATACAACGGTGTTATTATGGGACAACTAATTTGTCGTCCAAGGAAAGCGTCAGATAGGGGAGAGTGTAGGCTACACGAACAACCCTGTAGGCCTACTTAAATTTAATCCCATCACGGAGGAGAATCATCCTCCTCGGCATGATGAGATAGATGATGGTGAATTATGTGCATTAATTAAACAAACAAATCCAGCATTTTGCAAACAAACTCGATCTTTGCGAAGGAAAACTCGACTCGCAAATAAACAGAAAGCAATGTGCAAATAAAAAGGTCAATTTGAGCGAAAACGCAGTGAAGTAACCAATTGTGTTTTACAAATATAAATAAATGAGCCTAGATAATATTTCACAAATAAATACAAACCATCCTACAAATTGCATGTAACCTTAGAACAATGCATATCTGTCTGTAACGATTGTGAGACACGTGGCTTATTATGAGATCTCTTGGCTCGATTTTCTCACAAATGTGTCCAGGCAGATTTTCTTAAATTAAAGAATTTTAGCGCCATCTGCTGTCTTAGAAGAGGAAGTTGCTCAACTGCATTTGTGATCAAATCTGCCTGGAGGCCCTGGACACATTTGTGAGAAAATCGAGCCAAGAGATCTCATAAAAAGGCACGTCTCACAATCTTACAGACAGATATGCATTTGTCAAAAAAATCACTTCGCTATTTGCATCTAGATTACACAAGTTTTGAATAATGTATGATTCTT